ACTTGCTTAGTTACCGGGTAAGTAAAGTTTTGCTGAGAACCTTTATTTGAGCAAAAAAAAAAAATGCATCAAAAACGTCCATTTTGAAAAAAAGTAGTGGAAAAATAAGTGCCAAATATTGAAAAAATCTTATTCTAAGGTTAAAAAATATTTTTTTTTATTAGATATCCCACTCGTATCCCATTAGGGTACTATAAGGCGCTTAAAGTAATTGTCTAAGTTTTCGTTTGAGCAAAAAAAAAGTATTTTTTTGAAAAAAATTTAAAAAAAAATTATAGTTTTTTTTTTAAATTTTGAAAAATTATTTTTTTGGAAACATTGAAAAAATAGCTCCTTTGGACAATTTTTGCTAGGACCAATAGGTGAAAAATATGACCAAAATGTTAAACTTTAATCATCTTAGTCTAGCAGTTCTGGACCGGTAGCGCTGAAAATTTGTGTCTGGCCTACTATCTAATAGTACTAACTTTGGTGCAAATTTCTTCAAAATCGATTTTTTGAGTTGGGTCACTTGATATGAAATTGTCCTTATATTTAATGCGCAATAAAAACCTTTTTAGAACATATTTTTGGTTTCCCTGTCTATGACAAAGTTTTCAATTAATAGCTGGGCAATTCACAGCTACAGTATGAGTTGTATTTCGACTGATTATAAAATAATACGACATACAACAGTTATATTAATTGATATGAACATTTGTTTCAAATACCTATAAACTAAGTTTTATGTCTTTATTTCGGATCTTACAGTAATCGTTCTTCGACTAAATAAATGAAAACATAGATTTATGACAACACGCCAAAAGGAGGTTTTTTATGCACTGGTACATAGAAGTCACCACCAATCATAAAGGCATTCACACATCTCATTGTGCTAAAATTGCTTTCAGCAATGTCTTCGGCATAACATTACAGGAACGTGCATGAGAACAGGCACCAGTAAGATCCAAATGACAACGCGGTTGAGATTCGCCACCATTGGGATAAAAAGTATTCCGACCAATAGATTTCAAGAAACCCAATTTTCCACCATTAGTTTATATGGATTTCACATAGTAAGAATCGATACTATTTAAACGTTTGTTGGGTTCATCGTATTGGAATAAAGGCAAGGCATGATTAAAACCGTCATTGGCGTGAACTTGACCGGTCTCAATATATTTTCTACAATGACCAGCCACATGAGTACAAAACTATGACCTATAACATATAAGGTATCCAAAGAGATGTCATGTTCTCCCATCAAATAATCAACCATGCTGGCCACTTTCTCGCCTACTCCAAAACAGAGGTAACATAATCAACCGAACGAGCACGAGCCCAATCGACCACTATAATATTGTATTCACACACACCGAACCAGGCATCACTTATTTCTCTGTTCATACCCGCCAGTCGGCTTTGAGTCCAGCCGTGTATTATAAATCTAGTTGGGATGAGATGAATTAAAGTTATAACTTTTTATGGACTCAACATCGGCAGTAATTCTTTGACTATTAGTGGGATTTGATTTAGTATACAGATAAAATGTATAACTGCGTTGGTGGTCAAACCGAAATCTTCTATATGTTCCATGGCTCTGAGATACCATTCAGCTTTTGACATATTAACCCAATTGAAGCTACCACCTTCTTGTGGTACATACCAACCATTTTCCCCATGTATCCAAATATCATGCTCCTTAATATGTTAAACATTTTTATCAATTTTGATTATCTTAACTTTATATCGTTACGAATAGATCAAAAGGGCCAATTAAGTGTAATTTTATATCGTCCGATGTTCAGAAACTCGTAATTCCTAAGAATTTTGTAATCAGTGTTCGCGAGGGATGTTGTATCTGGAATAATATCACTCCTAAGATATTTGAAACTAATTTTGGTAAAAGCCTAACAATGGCAAAGAGAGTGCTCCATAATTTCATTGTTCAATTTTGTATAGTTGTGTCCATAATCCTGTGTGTTCACTTAGAATGCGTAACATCATACTTAACTCAGACTTGATCATTTTGAAGAGGCTTCTCGTCCTACACTCCTTAGGGTCACCAGAGGTCCTGTTGTTCTAACCACTGTTTCGTTATTTCAAAAGGCCTTATGGATTTATCTTACTCATATCTTTAATTTTGATCATGTTGCGTCCAATAGTTTTGAGTTCGTCAGGTTAACTAACTCTAGCTTCCATCTTTTTAAACCTATTACATTTGCTCTTCCGTTGCCGACTACTCCTGAGTGGCCTGGTACCTACATATATGATGTAAACTTTACCTCTCAAAGCGAATTCAGTTAAAATTTTGTTACAATCTAATACGGTCTTAGATTTAACTTTATTACCTGGTATCGCCTTAATTGATTTCTGGCTGTTGGTAAATATGTTAAACCTTATGAGCGCCATATTTATTCTAATCCAATTAAAACATTCCGCTATTGTTTGGACTTCTGCCTGGATGTTAATGTTGTGATTAACGGTGGTATATTTCTATTTTGATCCCGAAGGCCCACTTTGTATCCCAATTTAGAGCCATCCTAGTAACAAGATGTTCTGGTATAAGTAATTCAAAGTTTCCGACATATTATGTGTCTAGTATGCGATTGGGCACGTCCGATTATTGTTTATAGCCTTCCAATGTGTCCAGTATACATTGATGACATGTGTTATGACCGATAACATATTAGGTATCCAAAGACATGCCGTTGTATCACACCAAATTATTATAAATCTAGTGGAATTAGATGAATTAAAGTTGGAACCATTTATGGATTCAGCATCGGCAGTAATGCGTTAATTTGTAGTGGGATTCGATTTGGTATAGGGATAATATCTAACTGGATTGGTAGTCAAACCAAAGTTTTCTGTATTTCTTATAATCCTGAGATACGATTCAGCTTTTTCCATATCAATCCAATTAAAGGAAACATCTGCTTGTGGTATATACCAACCAGTTTCAACATTGAAGCTGAGTTCGTTTAAATATAAATATATTTGCCCTGGATGATGACATAGAACAAACTATACATTACCTTTCAAGGGACCAGTTTCATTTTAGATTTAATTTAAGTTATAATTTCAAAAAATTGTATTTTTTAGCGGATAATCATGGCAATAGCTTTGAATACTGAGTAGCCTTATATATCTTTTAACACAAAATGCATAAAAGATAAATTTGATAAATTTCAAATGTTTTGACAACAACAAATACCTTATCAATATCGACCTTATCAACATCGCCCAATTTACAATGATAAATTTAATTAAGTTAATCAAAAAGTATTTAATTAATTCTAGCGTACCCTTGGTGCTTCGCTACCCAAAACGGAGTGAAATTAAAACAAAATTTATAAATATTTCAAAAACATAAAATTCCTGCTAAAACATGATAATAACTTAGATATGGTCTTCATTATTTAGAAGGAGTCTAGTAACGACAAATAATAAAATATACGTAAGTATTTACTTTTTATACCCACCATCAAAAAAGATGGGGGGGTCGCTTTTGTCATTCCGTTTGTAACACATCGAAATATTGGTTACAGATCCACAAAAGTGATATATTCTGAGTCCTTATTAAAGACTAAGACGATCTAGCCATGTCTGTCCGTCTGTCTGTCTGTTGAAAGCACGGTAGAGTCCGAACGAAATGAGCTAGAGGACTGAAATTTTCCACAAATATTCTCTATTATTAAGGTTTGTTTGGTATTGAAAATGTGTAATATCGTTCCACGTTTTCGGATAGCCCCCATACAAGTGGACGCTCGAAAAATAGCTTTAACTGGCATATCTGTTTTAAAAGTACGAGTATAGCGATGAAATTCGACACAAATAAGTTTCATATGATCCGAGATTTTGCCAAATTTTATAAGGTCCCCTTCAAAAAATTTCTTTAACGCTCATTACTGGCTTAAAAATACTAGTATAGCAATGAAATTTGACATAAATAAGTTTCTTATGATATGAAACCTTTCTACCTACGGTTCATAATTGATCCTAGCCCCCATATAAGGTCCCCTTCAAAAAATTACTTTAACGCTCATTGCTGGTTTAAAAATACTAGTATAACCTGAGATAAGGACCCCTTCAGAAAATGACTTTAACGGTAATTACTGGCTTAAGAAAGAAATTCGACACAAATAAGTTTCAATGGAGCCAAAATCTCTCTATCAAAGTTTTATGTGGATCGGTTCATAGTTGACCCTACCCCCCATATAAGGTCCCCTTCAAAAAATTAACGATCATTACTGGCTTAAAAATCCTAGTATACCAATGAAATTTGGCATAAGTAAGTCCCTTATGATCCAAAACATTTCTACCAAGTTTTAGGTGAATCGGTCCATAATTGACTTACTTCCCATATAAGGCCCCCTTCAAAAAATGACTTTAGCGACCATTAGTGGCTTGAAAATACGAGTATGGAGATGAAATTCGACATAAGTAAAGTATACGTTTCTTACGAGCCAGAACCTCTCTACTGACTTATGAGATTCTGCGTATGGTTGACCCACATTTATGCTCCCAGATATGCTCAGAAAATAACTTTAAATCTCATTATTGGTTTAGAAATACCAAAAAAAGCGATGAAATTCGACACACATATGTTTGATACGAGTTAAAATCTCTCTACCAAATTTATTTATACCCTAATTTTACCCGTTTTTACCCTCTGAAAATTCGAATTTCCAAAAATCACCCTATCTACATGACCAAAAATATATATCATGATTCTAGGCTCAGTCGTCAGTAACGCGTCTCATTTATATACAGATATTAAACATTTGAATAGAACCATCAGCTTGTGCGTTGCATTCTTTAAATTTCCAAAAATTTCTAATATAAAAAGGTCTCACCGAGATTGCATGGACAGTATTATTCGCAAAATGAAAGTGTTGATCTTCTTAGCGTTTGGATGTTTAACAGGTAAAAATCTAACAAAAATACTTAAAAAATTAAAACTTAACACTTATATTCTGTTCAAATATTAGTTTATGCCTCGCCATCACTACGCGTCAGTGGTGAAAATGGTTGGTATATACCGCAAGAAAATGGCTCCTTCAAATGGATTGATATGCATAAAGCCGATTCTTATCTCAAGTCCATAAGAATAATTAAAGACTTTAAATTGCTTACCAATCCTGTAGAATACTATTTATATACTAAATCGAATCCTACAAGTGGCGAAATAATTACAGCCGAAGCAGACTCCATAAACGCTTCCAATTTTAATTCATCAAATCCAACCAGATTTGTCGTGCACGGTTGGACCCAAAGCTGGCTCTCGGATATGAACATAAGAATACGTGATGCCTGGCTCAGTCTGGGAGAATACAATATCATTATAGTTGACTGGGCCCGTGCTCGTTCGGTTGATTATTATACCTCTGTTTTGGCTATACCCGGAGTGGGCGAACAAGTTGCCAATATGGTTGATTATCTGGCTAGTGTGTACAGCATGTCTTTGAATACTTTACATGTTATCGGTTTTAGTTTGGGTTCTCATGTGGCTGGTTATTGTGGCAAGAATGTAGTGACCGGTCAAATTCGCGTCATTATAGGTTTGGATCCATCCTTGCCTTTATTCAAATACGAAGAACCCGATAAACGTTTAAATAATAACGATGCTTACTATGTGCAATCCATACACACCAATGGTGGTCAATTGAGTTTCTTGGAAGCTATTGGTCGTGGTGCTTTCTATCCTAACGGTGGCGAATCTCAACCGGGATGTATTTTGGATGTTACTGGTGTGTGTTCTCATTTTCGTTCCTATATATACTATGCCGAAGCTGTTGCTAAAAACAATTTTGGAACAATTCAATGTGCAAATTACGAAGATGCTGTTGCCAAAGATTGTGGAAATGTTTTTAGCTCTGTACGAATGGGTGCTGTCAGTAATGCCGACATGGTTGGTGGTGTCTTTTATGTACCCGTTAATAGTCAATCTCCTTATGGTATTTTGTCTTAAGTTGAGTAAATTAAAAAATTGACTTGTTTAAATTTAAATTTGTTTTACATACACTGGCAAAAGCAATGTCGACAGATGTGCTTATTTATCCTCAAATTGCGGATTTCAAGTTTTATTTGGTGAAAGATTTTCGTAGGGAGGGGATTTCGTAAAAATTTGGAGGTTTTTATACCCTACACCACTTTAGTGGGGAGGGTATATTGGGTTTGTGCTGATGTTTGTAACATACAAAAATATTCGTCCTATACCCACCTTAAAGTATACCAATCGGCTTAGAATCGTTTTCTGAGTCGATTAAGCTGTGTCCGTCTGTCCGTCCGTCCGTCTGGCTGGCTGGCTGTCCATGTAAACCTTGTGCGCAAGGTACAGGTCGCAATTTTCAAGATAATTGGATGAAATTTGGCACACACTCCTTTTTCGGCCCAAGGAAGAAGCCTAAAATCGGTCCATTATTTCAAATAGCCCCCATACAACAGAACCCCCGAAAAGGGCTTCTGAGCTCATAATTATGTTAAATATACCTATATATTGATAAAAAGCGGCACAATTTCATAGAGATCGGGCCTCATTTGATCCTAGCTCCCATACAAAGTCCCATTTAGAAAATTACTTGAATGTCCAAAATTAACTTATAAACACAAATACAGCGATGAAATTAAGCACAATAAAATATTATGTAAATATAAAAATATTCACAAAATGTTATCAGGCTTGGTCCATATTTGCCCCTAGCCCCCATAGAAAGCTTCATTCAGAAAATTAGTTTTTCATCCATAAATTGCTTAAATGTATCGGAACAAGGTAATAGAAGATAAATGCTTTATTATGAAAAATAAATCACATTTAATATTCATAACTGGTGTAGGGTATCATATGGTCGGTCACGTCCGACTATACTTTCTTACTTGTTATAATTTTTGCGATATTTTTGAGAATTTTTACAATTCTAGCCTAGTTTTTATATTTTATTCATTTATTTGTAATTATGATTCTTGGTTTTAACACTTTAAAAAGTAGCTTGGCAATTATGTTTAAAAAAAACAATGCTACAATCAAAGCAAATTCATTTCGCATTGGCTTTTAGTCCTTAATAAAGTAATATACTCATATTATAAGACCACTATCAAACATACATACCCAGCAAAAACTTACATTGAAAAGTAAGAGGTTAAAATACTAAAATTTACTGACACAATAGCATTTTAAGTCTTTATTTTAAAGTAGGGATAACATTAGAGGCAAGTACTAACCACTCTCGCTTACAAATAGGGAGTTAGGTAAGTACATACAACAATCGCAACAAAGATTAAAAAAAAATCACGTTTGTGTTAAAAAAGTCGAAAACAATATGTCGAGGCTAAAAATAAAGAACTTACATAATATATTATATGTAAGTCATTACTAGATTCCATCTAAGAAATGCAGATCAAAGCAAATTCATTTCGCATTGGCTCTTAGTCCGTAATAAAGTAATACACTCATGTTATAAGACCACTATCAAACATACATACCCAGCAAAACCTTACATTGAAAAGTAAGAGGTTAAAATACCAAAATTTACTGACACAATAACATTTTAAGTCTTTATTTTAAAGCAGGGTTAACATTAGAGGCAAGTACTAACCACGCTCGCTTACAAATAGGGAGTTAGGAAAGTACATACAACAATCGCCTAGAAAAAAGATTAAAAAAAGTTCACGTTTGTGTTAAAAAAATCGAAAACAATATGTCGAGGCTAAAAATAAAGAACTTACATAATATATTATTTGTAAGTCATTACTAGATTCCATCTAAGAAATGCAGACAGTATGTAGTAATCGTTGAAAAGTAAGTTGTTGAGTAAGTACAAGTCATTATAATGGTTTTGCTGGGAATAAATTAAAATGCTAATGAAGAAATAGCGAAAAGCGGTATTTTTTTTTAGCTTTTAACTCATTACTTTTCAACATAAGTTTTTGCTATGAATAATCTACACATTTTTTATCGAATATATTATGTGATAAATATTATTAAAATAAACAAATATTTCTGATTTTATTTCAAGAAATTCTTTATTCTTCTGGAAATAGGAAATTTACTCCGCAATATATATGATTTCAAAAATTATTGTTTTGTCCCTTTATTCACATTCACGATCAATTGGAAATTAAGTTAATATTTGGGTAACTTTTGTCGTTCATAAAACCCAGGAAAATAAAGCTGGGGAATTTTAGATATGTAGCTAAATGACACAAAGCTTCTCTTTACCATTATTAACAAGGTATTAAAAGTCACCATAAATATCGTGTGCCCTATGCGAGATATTGGAGGTCAATTTCCCCATAGGTTCAAAGGTCATAATAATGAATATAATTAAAAAAAATTGTTTACACAATCTACAAAGTCAGGAAAATGTTTGTGGAAGAAACAAAAATTTCATTGAAATCAGAATACTTCAACTAATGTATGTGTACCATAGTGTTTTAGTTGTTCTGAAAATTCAAAAATTGCTACAAAAAATTTTAAGCTAAAGTCTGATTTTAATAAAATTTGGTGGATTATAAACCTCTAATATTTTTTTTCGAATTCTAATCATAAATATGACCTTTGCCATTATCTGAAATTATGGATAGACATTAGACTATGGGTCGTAGAGCGATTCTGATATAAAACTTATTACACTGTATAAGCATATAGTAACGGCTTATGAATAACTTAAAAATTATAGCAAATTTGTGATCGGTACTATCTTTATTAAGATTTGAAAATATTAGTGCCATGGAAAAATAATGTCGAAAACAACTAATGATATGCACAAATATTCTTCAACCAAAATAAAGGAAATTCAATTTTTCATGTGGTAATATGTTTGGAATAAAAGTTTTCATTTGGCACCTTCTCTATTTTCTTTGTTAATGAAAGCTCAAAAAGATGGACATCTTTTTGAAATTTGATCCATGGGGCAAAATTTCGACTTACTTTCTAACCATTAGATGTTATACTTTTCTACGATTTTTTTTTAATTACTGCTTTTAGGCGTTTAACTTCGCAAACGTTAGGGTTTTTCGATGAAATGAAATGAAATTACTATAATAATTTATAAAAAGTGACAATTTATACTCAGTATTCTTTGAACACTCTTTCCGTGAATTCCTAGTTGGTGAAGTGTGTTTTTCCATTAGTTTCGAATAATATTTTTCATCAGAAATTCTCCTAAATATGTTTACTACTTATTTTAGTAGCTGCTTTTAGGTGCATGTTATCGCTTAACCTTCGCAAGCCCTAGGCTTAAGCAAGTGGGTTATTTTTCGGTTCTCAATAATCAGTTAAGTGATAGCATTTCTTTAATAGAATAGTAGCGCAAATTTTGTTGATTAGATACTTTTCTAGAATCTATGATAAAGTGTTATTTCTTTTGAATGAGCAATATCTTGTAGCTATTGTAAAAGTGGCTTATTCTGGTAATTTTCCTTTAAGTAAAATTAAAAAAATATATGTAAATATATGTATGTCAATAAAATGCACTTTATTTATAATCTCATGTTAATGCATTCATCTTGATAATTACCCATCACACAGTGATGTGTAATCTAACCTAATACTCCAAAGGGAGCTTTGCTATTGACTGGTACATAGAATTCACCAGCAACCATATAGGAATTCTTATCAGCACCCATGCGCACATAGCTGTAAGTGGCACCGCAACGATCACCAACAGCATCCATATAATTTTGACACTTCACGGTGGCGAAATTATCTAGAGCAACAGCTTCAGCATAGTATGTGCAAGAACGACCATGAGAACAGGCACCAGCAACATCCAAAGGACAACCAGGTTGTGTCTTGCCACCATTGGGATAGAAAGCACCTTTACCAATGGGTTTCAAGAAACCCAATTCACCACCATTGGTTTGAATGGATTCCACATAGAAAGCATCCGAGCTGGACAAACGTTTCTTGGGTTTGTCATAGTGGAACAAAGGCAAGGCAGGATCCAAACCAACAATGGTATGAATTTTACCAGTCTTAACATTCTTACCAGCATAACCAGCAACATGAGCACCCAAACTGTGACCAATAACATACAGAGTATCCAAAGACATGCCATAGTTCTTCACCAAATAATCAATCATGTTGGCTACCTTTTTGCCAACTTTGGGTACAGCCACTACGGAGGTGGCATAATCAACAGAACGGGCACGAGCCCAATCGACAATAATGATATTATATTCACCCAAACTTAACCAAGCATCGCGTATTTCCTTGTTCATGCCGGCAGTATAGCTTTGAGTCCAGCCGTGTATGACAAATCTGGTGGGATGGGCAGGATTGAAGTTTGAAGCATCAATGGATTTGTCGGACGCGGTAATCTTTTTACCCTTGCTAGGATTCGATTTAGTATACAAATAGAATTTAACGGGGGTGGTAGTCAAGCCAAAATCTTCAATATTTTCCATTGCCTCAAGATAGGACTCGGCATTTTCTCTGTCTACCCACTGGTAGGAACCATCTTCTTGTGGCACATACCAGCCATTTTCACCATGGATGCGTGTCTCATCTTCGTCAAAGATAGAAGCCGAAACTGTAAAGTAAAGTTAACAAAATTATTAAATTTAGTTATGACTTTGATAAAAGTTTTCTAAAGTTTTTACCTGCTAAGCAGCCAAGAGCTAAGAACCACAACACTTTCATGTTTGCAAATAATACTTGATTGCAACATTTGGCGCTTTTATATACATTTTACCGGGAATGCAAGTTAACAACCCCATGGGTTCTAGAGAAGTACTAAGCAGTTGTTATCGTTGGCGATAATCCTAGAGTATTTTTGTTAATCGTTAAAAATCGCTTTGATTATTTATATTGAAATAAATCATTTAATTCGAATCTCAGATACCCTGCAGTTGGAAAATAGAATAACTTTTTAAAATTTAAAGTGTCCAGATCGAAACTAAACTTGGATAAATCTTATTTAAATATTGTAATAGGGGAGTGATCTTCTTACCACGTTCGCTTACAAATAT